CAAAACTGAGTCAAAATTTCATCTAACAATTGGTTCCATCAACCCTAGATTAAGTGTTTAGCTACTCATGGTAAAACAAGATAAAACCATAAAATCATTCATAATTCACAAAATAATGATAACAAGAAGAGAATGAAAAACTCTAATGGTGTCTTGATCTTCTCACACTTGTTCTTGCCTCCAATTGAGTCTAAAAACAAGCTTGACCTTGTCTTGGGCGAGTTTTGTTGAGTTTATATAGGCTTAGGATAAGTTTCCCACGCTTTACACTTTAGCCCTTTAATTTTCTTGGCTTTCTCCAGATCGACCGCGGTCGCGGGCCAACCGCGGTAATTTTAGACCATTTTGTTTTTCGCCTTCTTTCACCGCGTTCCAGCCGCGGCCCGACTGCGGTCGCGGTGGACTATTGCTCAGTTTTTCTTCGCCTTTCTTGCTCGTTTTCATCCGGGCTCTTCTGGATTGGCTTTGTATCTTCATTTTTGACCCCAAAAAACACTCTATATCCTCCTCCTAACTCGGAGTAGCTCCTGCAAAGCATAAAAACCTCAATTAGAGCATTTTGTTATCATTTAGCACTTAAAACATCAATAAAGTATTTAGAGCATAAATAGCATCCACATTGCATAATATAGACTACTATCAATGATGAAGTCATGCATTATAGTTTTCCACCATCCATAATACTGTCCATTGAACCTAGGTGGTCTGTAAGTAGACTGGCCTTCTTCAAAGTTTGGGGGAGCAGCCATGATGATCCTTTCTAGGTGTTACCTGATAAAAAGAACCAGCTCTAATACCAATTGATAAAATATAAGGATCTACCAAACTCTATAGAGAACCAGGTTCTCTATCAGGTCCAACAATACACACACACACACAACAGTAATTAAATGGCAAGAGGAATTTTACGTGGAAAATTCCCAACTCAACGGGATTGAAAACCACAACCTACCCTTGTAGGATTTCAACTTCACTACCGAGCAACTTTTAGATTACAACCTATGTAACCTCGAAATTAAACCCTTAATCCCTCACTAACTTGTAACACACCTATTACAAGCCACTTTGCAATAACTCTATTACAAAGACTTTGAAACTTGACTAACTCTAGCCAAGACTTAAACACACTGGTAGGGACCTGTTCCCTCAGCTGTTGCTTCTACTCTGAAGAGTTGAATCATATTCCACGCTAAATCCCAACCTAGAACCTTGTGATCTTGAGGTCTTGTATTTGTGTAACAGGTTCCTTATCTGGTTCTGGATAGTAAGTTTGTTAGATCATCAAAACACAAAGTAAAGTACTTATGACCAAAGTACTTGTAACCTATCAAAAGTGTTTTATATAAATACTAGGAGAAAGAGTAACAAAAAAGGGGGCAGTCCAAAGATCCAAGAAGAACACACCTTTCGGAGTGGAAAGAGGGTCCATGACCTCAAATCCATCGCCAAAAGGAGAAAAGAGCTTAGAATCTTGGTATTCATCTGTAATTCCACCTTCTGAAGAAAATACAGATCTGTTTAGCCCACAATCGGGTGAATTGTTTTTGTTGCTATTTCTCTTTTGCATTTGATATTGTAAATTGCCATCTTTCATTATACTGTGGAGTACAAGCATGACTATATTGGCCTTTCACGCTCAACTATAATGGTTTATACCTGTTTGTGATTCCTGATCTAGAAGTGATTGTCTTTGGCTAAGATTTACCCTCTATCTTCTTATTAAANTTCTTCTTCTTCTTCTTCTTCTTCTTCTTCTTCTTCTTCTTCTTCTTCTTCTTCTTCTTCTTCTTCTTCTTCTTCTTCTTCTTCTTCTTCTTCTTCTTCTTCTTCTTCTTCTTCTTCTTCTTCTTCTTCTTCTTCTTCTTCTTCTTCTTCTTCTTCTTCTTCTTCTTCTTCTTCTTCTTCTTCTTCTTCTTCTTCTTCTTCTTCTTCTTCTTCTTCTTCTTCTTCTTCTTCTTCTTCTTCTTCTTCTTCTTCTTCTTCTTCTTCTTCTTCTTCTTCTTCTTCTTCTTCTTCTTCTTCTTCTTCTTCTTCTTCTTCTTCTTCTTCTTCTTCTTCTTCTTCTTCTTCTTCTTCTTCTTCTTCTTCTTCTTCTTCTTCTTCTTCTTCTTCTTCTTCTTCTTCTTCTTCTTCTTCTTCTTCTTCTTCTTCTTCTTCTTCTTCTTCTTCTTCTTCTTCTTCTTCTTCTTCTTCTTCTTCTTCTTCTTCTTCTTCTTCTTCTTCTTCTTCTTCTTCTTCTTCTTCTTCTTCTTCTTCTTCTTCTTCTTCTTCTTCTTCTTCTTCTTCTTCTTCTTCTTCTTCTTCTTCTTCTTCTTCTTCTTCTTCTTCTTCTTCTTCTTCTTCTTCTTCTTCTTCTTCTTCTTCTTCTTCTTCTTCTTCTTCTTCTTCTTCTTCTTCTTCTTCTTCTTCTTCTTCTTCTTCTTCTTCTTCTTCTTCTTCTTCTTCTTCTTCTTCTTCTTCTTCTTCTTCTTCTTCTTCTTCTTCTTCTTCTTCTTCTTCTTCTTCTTCTTCTTCTTCTTCTTCTTCTTCTTCTTCTTCTTCTTCTTCTTCTTCTTCTTCTTCTTCTTCTTCTTCTTCTTCTTCTTCTTCTTCTTCTTCTTCTTCTTCTTCTTCTTCTTCTTCTTCTTCTTCTTCTTCTTCTTCTTCTTCTTCTTCTTCTTCTTCTTCTTCTTCTTCTTCTTCTTCTTCTTCTTCTTCTTCTTCTTCTTCTTCTTCTTCTTCTTCTTCTTCTTCTTCTTCTTCTTCTTCTTCTTCTTCTTCTTCTTCTTCTTCTTCTTCTTCTTCTTCTTCTTCTTCTTCTTCTTCTTCTTCTTCTTCTTCTTCTTCTTCTTCTTCTTCTTCTTCTTCTTCTTCTTCTTCTTCTTCTTCTTCTTCTTCTTCTTCTTCTTCTTCTTCTTCTTCTTCTTCTTCTTCTTCTTCTTCTTCTTCTTCTTCTTCTTCTTCTTCTTCTTCTTCTTCTTCTTCTTCTTCTTCTTCTTCTTCTTCTTCTTCTTCTTCTTCTTCTTCTTCTTCTTCTTCTTCTTCTTCTTCTTCTTCTTCTTCTTCTTCTTCTTCTTCTTCTTCTTCTTCTTCTTCTTCTTCTTCTTCTTCTTCTTCTTCTTCTTCTTCTTCTTCTTCTTCTTCTTCTTCTTCTTCTTCTTCTTCTTCTTCTTCTTCTTCTTCTTCTTCTTCTTCTTCTTCTTCTTCTTCTTCTTCTTCTTCTTCTTCTTCTTCTTCTTCTTCTTCTTCTTCTTCTTCTTCTTCTTCTTCTTCTTCTTCTTCTTCTTCTTCTTCTTCTTCTTCTTCTTCTTCTTCTTCTTCTTCTTCTTCTTCTTCTTCTTCTTCTTCTTCTTCTTCTTCTTCTTCTTCTTCTTCTTCTTCTTCTTCTTCTTCTTTTTAGGTATTGATGTACTAGATACAATTATGATACAATTATCATATAATTCCTGCAACTTCTTCTTCTTCTTCTTCTTCTTCTTCTTCTTCTTCTTCTTCTTCTTCTTCTTCGTCCTCTTCTTCTTCTTCTTCTTCTTCTTCTTCTTCTTCTTCTTCTTCTTCTTCCTCTTCTTGTTCTTGTTCTTCTTCTTCTTTTTCTTCTTCTTCTTCTTCTTCTTCGAGTTTCAGTCTGAATTTTCAGTCTGCAACTTCCTCCTCTTCTTCTTCTTCTTCTTCTTCTTCTTCTTCTTCTTCTTCTTCTTCTTCTTCTTCTTCTTCTTCTTCTTCTTCTTCTTCTTCTTCTTCTTCTTCTTCGAGTTTCAGTCTGAATTTTCACCTAAAACAAAGTCTATAAGTAAGACACAATTGTGATACAAGTATGATACATTTATGTTTTAGGTATTTATGTACTAGATATAATTATGATACAATTCCTGCAACTTCCTCTTCTTCTTCTTCTTCTTCTTCTTCTTCTTCTTCTTCTTCTTCTTCTTCTTCTTCCTCTTCTTCTTCGTCCTCTTCTTCTTCTTCTTCTTCTTCTTCTTCTTCTTCTTCTTCTTCTTCTTCTTCTTCCTCTTCTTGTTCTTGTTCTTCTTCTTCTTTTTCTTCTTCTTCGAGTTTCAGTCTGAATTTTCAGTCTGCAACTTCCTCCTCTTCTTCTTCTTCTTCTTCTTCTTCAATTGTGATACAAGTATGATACATTTATGTTTTAGGTATTGATGTACTAGATATAATTATGATACAATTATCATACAATTGCTGCAACTTCTTCTTCTTCTTCTTCTTCTTCTTCTTCTTCTTCTTCTTCTTCTTCTTCTTCTTCTTCTTCTTCGAGTTTCATTCTGAATTTTCACCTAAAACAAAGACTATACTTAACCAATCTCCCTCAAAATTAAGATATAAACTCCAAAGGATATTCTCAATCACTTGCAAGAACACCAAATCCAAATAAACTATAAAATCGTAAAACCCAATTATTGAATTCAAAGCTTCAAAGCTTTTAAATTTAATGTTTAGCAACCATATTAATTTAAATAAATCAACATCTTATTTTTCTCATTAATCAAATGTAGTACAGTAGATCTTATGTGTGTTGATGAGTGCGAAATATTATGTGTGATTTTCGTCGTAGAAAGTGAGGAGCACCACTAAGTGAAAAGCTATATATTTTGATAGTCAAATTTGCATAGAAGAAGAGGGAGAGAGGAGAAGAGAAGAGAAAAAAGAAAACAATATAATTGAATCCCTTAATTGAAGATAGTAATAATGGGGTGAGAACTTTTTAAGAGCGACTGTATATAAATTGTTAAAAAAGTTGATATTTATTGAATACTGAAAACTTTTAGTGGAGAAGGAATTCCTAATATTCTTTACCAAGCTTATGGGGTGAAGATAATGGACTAATGCCTTGTCCAAATTCATGCATTATTGAAAGTGGGAATTGCCTTACCAAAAGTCACCAATAGGAACTGATACAGGACCTCTCACTAGAGGAGATTGATGCGGCCATTAAGGACATGCCAATTGACAAAGCTCTTGGTGTGGATGGGTGTCCTATAGAGTTCTTCACTAAACACTAAGAGGCTATGAAACAAGATTTCTATGCAGCAGTGAATCACTTCTTTCTCACACGGATATTGATGAAGGCGTGGAACTGCATTGCTATCACATTGGTCCCTAATGTCTCTGCACCATCTCAGGTGAAAGACTACAGACCAATAGCTTGCTGCACCATACTATATAAGATCATTTCTAAGATATTGACAAATAGACTCAAGAAAGTTATAGAAGTGATTATTGGGAGTTCACAATCAGCTTTCATTGAAGGGAAAAGCATTATTGATAACATCCTATTTAGTCATGAACTTTTTAAAGGCTACAATAGGAAAGGTATATCTCCTGGGTGTGTCCTGAATGTGGATATTAGAAGGCATATGATACATTGGACTTGCAACTTCCTCATATACAAGTTATCGGATCTTGATTTTTCTTAGAAGTTCATCAGTTGGGTTATGGAATGCGTAACCACAGTGTCCTATTCATTGGTCTTTAATGGTGAACATACAAAGACATTCCAGGTTAAGAGAGGGATTAGGCAAAGGGATCCAGTGTCCCCCTACCTCTTTGTTATTGCAATAGAGCATTTGCAAAGGGAGATGAACCAGTTGCCTAGGCTTAAGGAGTTCAAATACCATCCAAGATGCAAAAGGATTAGGGTGACACATATCTATTTTGCTGATGATTTGCTTATATTTTACAGGGCCGATATAAACTCCATCACTGTACTTAGGGAAACCTTTCAAAGGTTTTCTGCTACTTCTGGTTTGCAGACAAATGCTGAAAAAAGTTCTATGTATGTTGTTGGGGTGCATAATGATCTCAAGGAGGACCTGATTAACTTATTAGGATATGCAGAGGGCTCACTACTATTCAAATACCTGGGAGTACCTCTGTCTACTAAGAAGTTAAACATATAGTAATGTCTGCCACTAGTGAAGAAGATTATAGCAAGAGTGAATTATTGCTCAGCTAGAATGCTCTCCTACTCCGGGAGAGCGCAGTTGATTAAGTCTGTGATCTTTGGTATACACACATATTGACCTCAGATCTTTGTATTGCCCAAGAGGATCATGAAGCTGATTGAAATTGTATGTAGAACCTTCTTAGAGACTGGCACAAGTGCTACATCTAGGAAAGCATTAATAGTCTGAGATACAAGTCTGTCAACAAAAGGCTTTTGGTGGTCGGAACATTATCAATATGGGACTTTGGAACAAAGCAGCTTTCCAAAAACAGCTATGGGCACTTGCACGGAAAAAGGATTCACTCTGGATTAGATGGACTCATTGTTACTATATAAAGAAGAGACCTGGCAACCATGCATACACCTAAGGCAGTTGCTTGGGTGTTAAGGAAAATCATTGACTCTAAGGGTGTGTTTGGTATGAAGAAAAATATTTTCCGAAAAATATTTTCCAATTTTTCCATGTTTGGTTGGCTTAAATATTTTGGAAAACATTTTCCTTATCAACTCATTTTCCTTCAATTGGAGGAAAATGTTTTCCTTATCAAGAGATGGGAAAATATTTTCCAAAACTCCTTCTCAACCTTCCCCACCCTATCCCCCAACCCACCCCCACACCCCCCCACACCCACCCACCCAAACCCCACCCCCACCACTCTCTCCAAAAAGGAATTTTTTTTTAAAATTTCAGTTTTTTTCCCGGTCACCCCACCCTGCTTAATCCCGCGCCAAACCCCACCCTTGCACTGCCACCCCCCCCCCAAAAGATTTTTCTTTTTACTTTTTTTTTGTAATTTTCAAATTTGCACATACCCCCTGCCCCCCTCCTCCTGGGAAAAAATATTTTTTTTATATATATTTTCAATGTTTAATCTTTTTTCCAGATATCTTGCTGGTCGGTTTAACAGGGTTCGACAATCTCTACAAGTTCCAAAGTTATGAGTTTAGAGTTTTTGAATGTGTTTTGAAAGTTTATGGGTTTAGAACATCATATAAAGTTTACGGCGTTAAACGAAAGTTCGCGGTTTTACGTAAAAAAAGTAAAGACCAACACATTAGTTGCTTTGGCGTTGTGTCAATTTTTAGAGACTTGGGGAAGGGATGGGCGAGGGGGAGGGGTGGGGGAGTGGGAGGGGGAGGGGTGAGGAGAGTTGCATAAAAAATATTTTCCTAAAAAAAATATTTTCTACTCTCTAACCAAATAATAGAAAATATTTTTCAGAAAATGTTTTCCACCCACCAACCAAACAAGGGAAAATAAGTGATAAAACTACTCATTTTTCATGAAAACATTTTCTAGGATAACATTTTCCATGGAAAACATTTTCCTTCATACCAAACACACCCTAAGAATACAATGATGCAGATGAATGCACTATAAGGCAATCTTGATAGCAAACTATCTATACTAGAAACTAAGGAAAAATTTCAGATAAAGAAGACTTATATCTAATTACTTCCTCAATTCCCTAAAGCTGCCTGGAAGAGTATTCATATGCATCCCCAGATTCATCCTAGATTTAAATTCCACATGTACATAACATGTATTGAACACCCTTTATCCGATTTATTTTTTTACTTATTTCGAGTTTGAACACCTTGAGAAAATTCCTGACTTCGCCACTGATTCAGAGAGGATGCGCAGAGAAGTGGCAATATACATACACATACAAGGGAGATCAACAGTCAAATGGCAGTCAACATTGCACTTTCTTAATCGTAATCCATACGCTAGACGATATATAACTCTGTTTGTCCGTGAATGTAACTAGTATAGGCTTTATTCCAGTTCTTTTAATTTGGAGGAGGATGTTATGCATCTACCTAGTTTTTTAATAACAGTTTTTTATTAATAGAAGTGTCTGTTTAATCCAAAAAAAAAAACTTTAAAAAAATTGATAAATAAATCTTTATTATAGTATATATAGGAAAAAGATATTTCCCATGTGGCCTGCGCCCCAAGGAAGAGTAACATTATTAACCGGGGAGAAAGTTACTTTTAGGCTATTGTTTAAAATACAACTATTTACCTAAAAATTAGTCATAACATAGAAAGAGATATGCTGCCTCGTCGTCTTCTCCGCTGCTTCTGCCTTCTTCTTAAAAAGAGATCCGCTGCTCCTTCTTCTCTACATAAGTGAAAAGAGAATGAATGTACAGATTAACTTCTTCGCACAACAATTCTAACTCAACTTTCAATGACTAATTAGTATCATGCATACCCACCTATCTTTACTGTCATTGTTGATGCATTGTAAGAATGCTACAACTTTTGTAGAAGAAGTGTAGCAGAAAAGTGAGGTTGAATGTTGTACGTATTCTTGTTAACTCTTCAACTTTTCATACATAAAGAAAATGCAAATTGAGACGAATTATATCTCTTACAAAGTTTTCAATCATTTACGATAAAACTTGATTCCTAAATAACAACAACAACAACCCAGTGTAATCCCATAAATGGGGCCTGGGAAGGTAGTGTGTATGCAGACCTTACCCCTACCTTATAAATGTAGAGAGATTATTTCCGATGGATCATTGGCTCAGGGAACGATGGAGATAAGATAAAGCAACCAAGTAGCAAACAATGATAACAACAATGTAATATGGTCACTAGCATCACGAACTAAATATATGCCCAATAGTCTAGCATCGCCAGACTCAAACCAACCAATCGGAGAATGACATCGCCTTCCATTAATGCCTCATATGGAGCTATCTCGATGCTTGACTGATAGACGTTGTTACTGGCAAACTACACTAAAGGTAGAAACTGATCCTACTAGCATCTGAAATCTATGACACAATCTCTTAACATTTCCTTCAAAATATGAATGGTCCGCAGGCTGCCCATCCGTTTGAGGGTGAAATGCACTGCTCAACTCAACCTACGTGCCCAACTCACACTGAACTGCTCTCCAAAAAACGCAAAGTAAATTGAGTGCCGCAATTCGAGATGATAGAAATAGGTACACCATGCAAGCGAACAATCTCCCTGATGTAGATCTTAGCCAACTACTCCAAAGCATAGGAAGTCATAACTGGAATGAAATGTGCAGACATGGTGAGTTTGTATACAATGACCCAAATTGTGTCAAATACCCTCAATGTTTGTGGAAGATCTACCACAAAGTCCATAGTGATATGCTGACAATTCCATTTCGGTTTCTCTATCTTCCGAAGCAAACCACCAGGTCTCTAATGCTCATACTTGGCCTGCTGACAATTCAAACACTGAGCAATATATTCAGCAATGTCTTTCTTCATCCTCTGTAACCAATAATGGTGCTTCAAATCATGGTACATCTTTGCAGCACCCGTATGAATAGAATACCATAAACTATGAGCCTCCTCCAGAATCAACTCTCTCAATCCATCCACATTAGGAACATAAATCCGGCCCTGAAGCCGCAACACACCATCATCACCAATAGTCACTTCCTTAGCACCACGTCTCTGCATCGTGTTCTTAAGGACAAGAAAATTGGGATCATCATACTGACGAGCCTTAATTTGCTCCAACAAAGATGACTAATATACAACACAAGCAAGGACTCCACTAGGCTACGAAATATCCAATCTCACGAATCTGTTGGCCAAAGCCTGAACATCCATGGCAAAAGGCCTCTCCTCATCTCGAATAAATGCTAAACTCTCCATACTCTTTGCCTTTCTACTCAAGGCGTCTGCTACCACATTGTCCTTCCCCCGTTGATAAAGAATGGTGATTTCATAATCCTTCAACAACTCCAGCCATCTCTGCTACTTCAAATTCAAATCTTTCTGTTTAAACAGATGTTGGAGACTCCGATAATCCGTATACACCTTACAAGACACGCCATATAAGTAATGCCTCCAAATCTATAATAGCTGCTAACTCCAAATCATGCACTGGATAGTTCTTCTCATAGGACTTCAACTGGTGCGACGAGTAGGCAATCACCCTAGCATCCTGCATGAAAATACACCCAATGCCAAACAATGAAGTAGCACAATATACTGTATATTACCCTGATCCTGAAGGCAAAACCAACACTGGAGTAGTAGTCAAAGCTTTCTTGAGCTTTTGAAGCTCTCCTCACACTCATCCTACCACCTGAATGGAGCGGCCTTCTAAGTCAACTTAGTTAATGTGGATGCAATAGATTAAAATCCCCTTATGAAGCAACGGTAATAACCAGCCAAACCCAAAAAGCTCCTGGTCTTTGTAGCGATAGAAGGTCTGGACCAACTCCGAGCTGCCTCAATATTCTTCGGGTTCACCTTAATCCCATCACTAGATATCATATGACCAAATAATGCCACCGAGTCTAACCAAAACTCATACTTGAAGAACATAGCATACAACTTCTTCTCCCTTAAAGTCTGGATCACGATCCTCAAATGTTGTTAATGTTCCTCTTTGCTACGAGAATACACCAATTTCATCAATGAGAACAATGACAAAAGAATCCAAATAGGACTAGAATACATTGTTCGTCAAATGTATGAAGGCGGTTGGGGCATTAGTCAAACCAAAAGACATCACTATAAACTCATAATGCTCGTAACAAGTCCTGAAGCAAGCTTAGGAATGTCCAAAGTCCTGATCTTTACTGATGATACCTTGATCTCAAGTCAATATTCGAGAATACCCTGGTACCCTGAAGGTGATCAAACAAATCATCAATTCACGGCAGGGGATACTTGTTCTTGATGGTCACCTTGTTCAACTGCCGATAATCAATACACGTCCTCATAGAACCATCCCTTATCTTAACAAATAACACCGGCCAGGTGAAACACTAGGTCATTTGAACCCCTTATCCATCAATTCTGGAAACTGCTCCTTCACTTCCTTCAACTCCGATGGAGCCATACGATACGGAGGAACAGATATAGGTTGCGTGCCTGACACTAAATCAATGTTGAAATCAATATCCCTATCGGGTGGCATGCACTGTAGGTTTGAAGGAA